GGACCTGGGCCAACCCCCACTACATCGCGCTCCCCATCCCCCTCTCCCTTTCGGTACCCCCGCGCCTCCGGCCACCCCTCCCCCACCAAACGGCTCTTCTCCACAACAGCCCGCGGGTGAGCAGGGGAATCGATCTGTGCGAGATACTGGCTGTGGTGGTGGGGGGGGGGGGGGAATTAAGTGCGGCCAAACAGTTAGGGGCATGTCCATCAGCCGGAATGGTAAGGCAGGCAGGTGAATGTGTCACCTCACACGGTTGCATCGGCAGGAATCTTTAGGCAGGTTCAAGTGACCCATATCGGGTCAGGTGTCCGACACTGTCCTTATCGAGCGCCGCCTCTCACGCGAATCTGTCTCGGTTACTCGCGAGTCGCCACTCCCCGTGTGACTAGAGTGCCCGCCTCGTCCCCACTCCGCCCCCCCCCCCTCCCCCGAGCTAGGGGGTGGGGGCGGGAGGACACGGCAGCGGCAAGCCGAACCGAGTCGTGTGTCAAGCTCGTCCAGATATCTTTCGAGATTTACTCCAAGTGGAGGTGAAGGAGTGGGGGACACCCCAAGGGAGCACTGCGGGGGAGGGGACATGGGTGGGGGTGGAGACGGTGACGTCACGGGCAGGACCCGTCGATGTCGATATGGGGGAGGGAGACATTGGGGGGACAGTATGACGTCAGTCATCGCAACAGCCCACCTTTCCTCTCCTCTAAAATACCGCAGCTCTCTTTAGAGTGTGCCTGGTGGAGTACTCCACATGTCTCCCCGCAAGGCAGAGCTCAAAGCCATAGGTAGGGCCCAAAGACAGGATCTATGGCAAAAATTTTCAGCAGGACATCTCTACAGCCACCTATATATTTTAATTCTAATCGTCTATATTTTAATGATGCTGATGGTCCTTCTGCTTTTAACATTTGAAACAGATGTAAATGTAATACTCAACCACTTGGCAAGGTACTAGCTATTACAAAGGAATAATTTTACAAACAATGGCATAAAACAACAGGAAAGTATACTGCATTCAGTTAAATTCAGATGGTAGAGAAAAACTGTCTGCCCAGCCTAGTCCAGCAAAGGAGTCAGAACATAAATATATCATTTGCTAAACGAGCAGAGTAGCTGGATGAACGAAATCAAAAGAATACTCTTAAGACAACAAAAGAGAAAAATACTCAGATCCACAAATAGACTAAGGTTCTTGTTTATTTTTTGATTTTTAAAAAAATTAGATACTCTGATAAAATTCTCGTTTGATTCCTTGTCAGCCCTGATATGATGGCAAATATGTCCAACAAAAAAAAACATTCCAAAGTACTTAACATCGAGTTTTAAGAGAAGTTTCTCAGGCTAATAGGTTACCTTTGACAGATTTGTTTTCGATCGAAAAGAAACAGAAATACTGCAACTAACACTGTCCTATTGGGTAAGGACCAATGCAATGTTTTAAAAAATGACCCCGACTATCGTAAAAACAAACACCGTGTGTCTTTTTGGTTACGGTGGTCTTAAAATTATCACAAGTTAATAGGGAATGCAACTTGTATAACGTTAACTGACCCCCGGTCGATTCCTAAAGGTTCCTAGTGATACTTACCGATGGAGTCTATTCATGAAACTGCATGATTCGGTTAAAAGTAAGTCAGGGCGTAAAGATGCACTAACGTATGACGATCTGGCCTGACGAACTGCTTTGGCTTCTGCTTAATGGGATGGTGTGAGAGAGAAGGAGAGGAGTGGGGGAAATTCTACTGCTTTCAGTGTGACCAGGGTAGGAAAGTTAGGTACCAAATAAACCTGAAATTTTATTGAAACAATCAGCCGTTTTTAAATTGAAAATCGTTTTTTTGAAACGAATCACTTTAAAATTTTAGTTTGCAAAAGTAAAGAGTATAATGTTTTGTACTCTGACGTCTTTTTTTATTATTTCAAAAGATGGCTTCCCTGCTCATTGGCGTCGATAAACATCGATATATCGCCTTGCGACTAGTCGATTGGTGTCTGCTGAAGTGTTCAACAAAAATGGGTGGATGCTAGCGAATTTGTTTAGTCTGTGGGAAATCTTCTCCTTACCCGATTGTTTGCCATTTCTTCCACAATTTAACTCGTTTTCTTCGATTGAAAATTTTCCCTCTGATATGGAAGAATGGTTACCAGAGACCCGCTAGTGGTATTTGCTCTCCTGGTCCTTTGGAAAGGTGAGGAAACTGATGCCTTTCGGCTTTATTGGTAACAATGTTGACACAATAATAGAAATGTGTGTTTATGTTAATGTTTTACACACAGGAACGATATAATAGTTAACAAAACACTATTATATCATTGTTTGTTTTATCTTCAATTAAAAGTTTATGTAGTAGTTTGTGCATCAACATATATGTTTCAGTCTTCAGAAGAATGAATTAGTTGTACTTTACCTTGAGCCTCATACAATTCTTTTCAACACCTGAATATGCTATCTGTATTCTTTTCAGGCTACTGTTTAGGTGAAAGCCTTTTCATTCAAGAGGAAGCCGTAGATTATGGGGAAAATATTACCCTTCCTTGCTTTTTTGCTACCGATGGAAGTAGTGGAGATGGGAAAGGAACTCATGATGATGATGATGTATGGTCAAGCCATGAAGGAGCTGTGTGGGTGAGAGAAGGACGTGAAGATGAGCAGGTTTCTCGTATGTCTGTTCATCAGGATGGAAGTCTTTCCCTCACTAATGTGGACCGTGATGATTCTGGGGTCTATCGTTGTGAGATAAAAGATGAAATTCGCATACGAATCAAGCTTGAAGTTAGGGGTAAGATACATTTTTGTACTATTTTTCTATTTGTTTTGAATTTGATTTTTCATTACAACTCTACTTTCCTACTCTTTCAGTTCCTCCACCAGCTTTGTCCAACGTAACCATTGTTCCTTCTACTGTTCTGGCTCTTCTTTTATGGGAAGTTACGGATACTGGAGGTTATCCAATTTCACATTTTTCTGCTCGATATCGTCTCAAAGAACCTACTTTGTTGTCTGATCATCAAAGTGAAGAGAAATCTTTGCTTGACTATACATGGCATTGGGTTGTGCCTGAACAAATAAAGCCCTCTGTGGTATGAGAACTTACTTGAATATTTCAGTTAATGCCTCCTTTCAGTACCATTATAAGAACAAAAAATGTTAACTTGTATGTTGCAGCGGGAGATTGATGTTTACCAATTACGCCCTAACTCATCATACTTATTTGAGATTTGGGCATCAAATCACCTAGGAGCTGGAGAAATTACTCAGCTTGAAACACATACCCAAAATAATGAAGCTGAGATTGGTAAGATTGTCAAACCTTAGTTAGACCATGAATATCATTGCTGCGTCAACTTGCTTTCATTTTACCCTATTGACTATCCTTATTTTTTTTAGCCTGTGCACATTTTTATTTGTTTCAGAACTTGCAAGGCACTTGTTGGAAGGAGCGGAGACATTTGACACTCGTGTCTGGGTGGCAGCTGTGGCTGTAGTGATGGGGACACTTGTAATGCTAGCTTTGGGCACTTGTTATCTCCTTTACAAGGAGTGCCACATTCCTAACAGTAAGTGTGTTCTTACATGAAAAAAAAATCTTTGTTAAAGAACACTAGAACACAATGTCCTGGGTTTTGTAATAATGTTGCTGCCTTTTTTTTTTAGTTAACTTAGATGAACATGAAATTATGGAGCTGGTTCCAAATATAATTCTAAACCCTGGATTTGATGATGATGGAGTTGTTGAAGGTCACTATGAAAGGGATGAAAATTGTAATAATAGGAGAGCTATGCACATCAACAACATCTCAACAGCCCAACCGTACCGCATTTGATTGGAGGATGGCCCAGAGGTAATTTACTTGTATATAATCTGTAAAAGTTATATTTTTCACCATCAAAATAGGGCTTTTTAAAAGGTTTTAACTGAAAAAATGATCTAATCCAAATGTCTTTTCCTTACTTAGATGGAGGCATACTTCTGATAAAGCACATAACTGGAAAGTAGAGCTGCCTCAGTGCTTTTGGCACATGCATGCATAATAAACACCATCACCTTAGCTGTGAGCACCATTGCACATCAGGTGTCCTAGAATACCTCAGCACCCCAGCTGCCAGACTAACACAGAATCACAAGTGGGACCTAGTATTATCTGCTGTTACTTTAGATGTGATCAGAGGTATATGGAATTCAGTGGAGTGAAATATGTCTTATGCATTCAATTAAAGGAGCTTTCTTATACCGGTAATTATGTATGTGCAGTCAATGCTGAAAGTAAGAAACTGCTCTTTTTTTTTTCTTCTCAGTACTTATTGGTCATAAATAATAATAGTGAACAATATCAGATGTTAATGTTTTTAAAACATCACATTTCTTTTCAATTTTACTAATATTCCACAACATTCACAGTAATTTTTATGATTTTTCCCTTATTGAGCAGAGGCTTTCAGCATTGTAAATATCACATCCTCCTATTGTATGCTTTCGCCTGTGGGCGTCGTCATAATCAAATCTTAACCCTCAAAAGACTTGCCTACAAGTATTAAGTAACTGAAAACATTTAGGTGATTTGTCATCAAAAATAAATAAAATCCAGTTACAATCCATCATGTTCTTTTAATGGGTTAAAATTTAAACTGTTGAAATTTGGACAAATTCAAGAATTTGATGTAAATGCAATTTTAGGTATGTTATCAGTATTGTATGTTTTTTTCCTATCATGTCTTTGACATGAATTTTGACTGATGAGCCTGCATAGGTTTTATAGTTACTGATGTTAAGTAATCATTCCTTTCAAATCTTGTGGTATTGCCCCTTGGTTTCTAAACCTATTAAATGCTGTTAAAGCCAGGTAAACTTGGCTACAGTATCACTGTTCAATAATGTTTTGGGTTTGACCAAATACTTTTAAGATATTGTTAATCAAATGTTCCAAGCTTTTCTAATTTGCTATTATCCACAAAACCCAATAGAAGGTTGAGGGCTTGGTTAGGAAAAACAAATTAACTAACTAATTTGCCCCTCTTCCCTCCTATGGTTTCCTCATTTTTTCCTATGTTGTGAATGAAAACAAATGACATTTCAGCTCACGTTACTTAACCATGAACATTCATGAAAATGCACAGTATTGCTGAAGACGTCTTTTCTTTTTAATTGCTCAAATATTTTGAGGAAACTACTATATTATCATTGACTTGTACTTTTAAACTATGATGATGTATGATGTGATATTTCCTTATTTGTACTATTGGAAGGTAAAATCCATTTCTCAACGAAAAGAAAAATTGTTAAAATGAAGAAATCAACGTACCATCCATACTCTTTTGCTTTCAGTAATGTATAGCCAATATGCTCTTTTTCTTTCTTTTTTTCATGCTGTTCTGACTTTTTGAATGCTCATCTGAACCAGTGTGGTCATCACAAAGCAATCCGAAGATGCCTTCTTTGCTCTCTCTATCTTACTTGATCTTCATCAATGTGTTAGTTGTTAGATACTATTTGATGAAATACGCACTGTAGAAAACAAAATGGCTGTTATGAAATTTTTATTTTGAAACCTGTAAAACTTTGTAAATAGTATTTAATCAATGTAGATAGAATTCATCAGAATGTTTTCAGCAGTGATCTATGCTACTCAATCTTTATCAGATAATTTTGAGGTTTGTATCAAGTTGACCTCAACAAATCTAGTCATTCATTCTCACTGAGAGATGAACTTAGGTATTATTATGTATGCTTTTGAGTCCTCAAAACTGAAGTGACATTGTGATAAACTCACACCACATACTCATTCTTAAAAATTTGCTCTTTACTGTTTTTATTTTGCTAAGCTTCCTCCTACAATTTTCATCTTAATTCGATGAGCTATTGTTGTCACTCTTGTCACACTCTAGGGAAAAATCCTGTGCTTTCAATCTACGCTATAACCATAATCTATTATTTTTTACCTATCTATCTATCTTATCTCTCTACCTTCTAGTTCACTTATTCACTGCTTTGTTATTGCCTTTAGGATTTAAATGTGCATTTTTCTCATGCCTAGAGCTAAGAGAGTGTTTATTGCATGAATGAGAGTATGACTGTAATTTATATTAATCCAATCAAAATACTTATGTACATAAAAGCGATAATGTAATGTTCAAAAATGAAATCTACCATATCAGGTAAATTCAGAATTGAGCTCCTGCACATCCATGATTTTATTTGTTAGTTTTTGTTATGTGAAGTTTGGTGGCTAATCATCTTACACACATTGTTTTGTTACTGTTATATTTTTAACTTATTCTATCTTCTTTATCCCTAAACATTTTGGTCTCATGAGTTAGTTGTGAAGTTTAACTGAAGAGTTTCTCAGCAAATGTTGACACTGGGCAAATTTGCCTTTAAAAGGTTTGTTTTTCATGATGTACTTTTTTTTCCATTTTCATATTTGTATGGAGCTGGTAATCATATCTCTAAGGCTATTACATGGCTATCATTCTTACAGTTCAGTAAAAACAAGTTGGCTTCTGCCTTTAGTAGTTAAAGAGTGTGTTGTGTGAATCATGTTATTTATTGTATCAAAATTTGAGTGTAAGAGAGAGTTTTCTTGCTTTTTATTTTTTATATTCGTACAGGTTTGATAAGACTTGGCAAGAATGCTATTACTGATATGTATTACACAAGCAATTGTATTTAAAATTCAACTGAGTATTTCATTGACAATTTCAACCTCCCATGACTTTTGCAGGGTTGTTTGTGAGCATTTGTTTAGCATGCCATTCACAGATATTATTTTCTATCAATTCATCTCAAACTGTAATATTTATTTCCCTGCTTAAATCTTTTGCAATACTTAGTGACCACATTCACTAAATGGTGGTACTGTCTGTATATCAATGAAGGCAACACTTTATCTTAATGGAGTATGCTTTGACAATACTTTGGTAATACTAAATATTTTTCAAGCCTTGATTTTGTGCAGCTCAGTTTAATAGTGTTTTGTAATCTATGATAATAAGTATCCTAAATAACTAAGTCAACTCACCTAGAGGTAATGATTTAGTATTAAAGACATCAATGTTTCTAGTCTGATACTGACCTTGCATACTACCATTGGAACTATGGTTCACCCGGCGTAAACTAGTGCAACTTCTTTAGTCGTAGGCTTAAAGCTACTGTTAATGTTTTGAAATGGTGATAGAGCTATCAGTTATAAGGAAGCAAATATGTGTTAAGGTTCTGGGCGGTTCCATTTTCTTTTCTCTGCCTTATGGTTAGTGTACTGAAAATCGTGAGAAGTGAAAGAATGAGTTTTTGTGATATTTTAGCAACCTGTATTACTTAGAAATGTTTTTGAAAACTCAGTGGTCGTAACAAGGCTCCATCAATGTATCTCCTCTGTCCATATTTGACCACTCCAAATATGAATGCTTTCACCAGCATGTCAACTGTTTTTTCCTAAAAACTTAACAAAAGCAGCAAAGAGACAAACATGATTGTGGGTGTTTTGGGCCTTTTAAAAAAAATTTGTTCTGTTTACTATTGCTCAAGTTCCTTGGAAAACTCAGTTACATCGATGATTATTTATTTTGCTTTCTGTGGACCAAGACAATCCAAGTTACACCAATAACCACAATTGTAGTATGACCAATGTCAATTTAGTTGCATTTTCTCACATTTCGACTGGACTATGTTTGTGCACTGGCACCTTTCCATTTACTTTACAACAGTAACACAGGAAAGTTTTTAATTTCTTTTACTTTAAGATGTTGAATGTCAATGCTTCATTAGAACATTACTATAGGACACAGTTGCTAATCAAATCTATTCTTTACAAGCTTAATTTTTATTTAAATTTGTCTTAAGGCTGTAGTTTAGGTAAGCTGCTGTTGTGTTTACTGAGTGTTACATAATGCCAGCAATACCTTTACATTGTAGTAGTTGAAAAAATAATACATCCCCGGGGTTTACTTTGAAATTTTAAAATGGAGAAAAGGGGATCACATTATAATCATGTTGCTCTCACCATTTTTCTCTGCGGACTGTTGGGTTGTTACTGTCCCGATCTTGAAGGTACTTACCTGACTTTCCAAGATAAGCAACCCAGAAAAGTGTATTGACAAATGTGAAGTAGAATAAGCAACTGTACTTTGACTTCCTTTTTCTAGAAAGCAGAAAACTCAGCAATTGATATTAACTCGTTTTGAAATTGGTGATATTTGATAGGATTGCAGGTTCCTGCATTTTTCAAATATTATGTGATACATTTGAATTAAGAATAACAGCTGTTCCTTAACAATGCATTTGTATAAACCATGCATGTGACTGTCAGTCTAGGAAGAATGTCCATAGTAACCCACTCATTTTGTGTTCAAAGTCACTGATATTTTGTAATGCCACTGTAGATACATTTTGCTATGGAAATTAAAGCTGTATGTAATTTTTAGAAAAGACTACCTTATCATCAAACGCTAGAGGCAAAAACAGAAGAGATGTTTTGTTGATTCTTTATTTTCTCAACAAAGAACAACACTTGTTTTTGAAAATTGTTTAATACTGGCATACTGGCACACATATCAAAATCTTCCGCTATTGAAAAATTATTATCAAAGTACAATGGAAGTAAAAAGTAATTCCATAATGTAAAATATTTGACAGTCTTTGGTAATGCAAATTATCAGCAGTCCAACGAATAACATTGCTGTCAAAAGTAGATGGGGAAAACAGCATTTATCTTACACTGCAGTACCAAAATCCTAAAAGTAGCAAAAGATTTCATACAATCCTACATACAAAAAGAGATATCAAATCTTTGTACTTGTGATTAAATATTTCACTGCCATCATTCAGATAAAGTGGCAAAAATTTTTAAACTTTCAATGATTGAGGCACAAAGAGACATGAACTATCCTAGCATTGACAAATACAATGCCATACTAGTAAGTTTGCAAAATTTTTCAATGAACTCAAAGACTATGACTTAGATTTTAAGACACCAACAGAGGCTTTGGTTTAGGGCAATCAAAAGAAGTGCCCTAGTGCTTCTGAACCAACACCCTCCAACATTTGCCTTCATGATATCTTTCAGAGAGCTTCTAATTTCAAACAATTGCCTATTTTAAACTGATTTCACATTCTTCATTCAGATCTGGACAATCTCTAAATCACAATTTCATGCTTCATATGAATTAAACATGGAAACATGAAACATGGGCAACATTGAAAGGCTGTAATTGTGAAATCAACACACAAAAAACAAAATTGTGAGAAGACTTATTTCTGACCTACACAATAAAGAATTGTGTCCAGATTCTAACCAAGACATGTAAAATATCACAGCAAAATGGAAAGAAACTAATCTAAAAGAAAATACCTGTTTAAAAATGGTCAAGATTATTACAGATGCCAGTAAGATTAGAAGAAAAACACCCACAAAATTGGCAACTCACTTGGGAGTTTACAATATGACTAGATCTTACAGACTGAAATTTTACGTACTTACAAACTAGCAGATAGGATTTAAAGTAGTAACATTGGTTGTGATGTGAGTTCTCAATTAAGAAATTCATTATAATTGGGTATAAGTGGGTTGACAGGCAATTCAATTAATACCAATAAATAGTAAAAACACACATAATACATTGATACAGCAAACTGGTAAATCAATAAATATTCGTACCTTTAAGTACAAAGCCCATCAAAAACAGAGCTACTTATTACTTAGATTTAATCTAAAAAAAAAAATCACTGGTAAATTTAACATTACCACTAGGAGTATATAAACTGGTCATCATTAAGAACATGTCAAAAAAATTCAGCTATCAGTACACATTTAATTCCTGATGAAATGCATATGCCCAAAGAAAAATGTCAAAGAAGTCATTTTGACATCAACTTCACTTTGACTTTTTTCTGTTACTTGGGAGAACATAAAAATTAACAAAAGGGAATACGTTCCTTAAAATGACTATGCAAACAAGTCTTTCATTAAAAATTAATCTAAAACCCAACATTCAGGTGCTTATTAGAATGTTGGTAGTAGTTGCTGAGTTTAAGAAGTCAATTGTAAAACCCTTTGTGGAACACTAAAATATTGATTTAAAGATAATTTGGTTATTACCCAAGCCTATGTATGTTCGAATACTGATGCTAAGCCCTGATATACTCAGTCAAGCTTTAAATTATTAGATCACTTATAAAATGAAAACGCACAGCTGTGCTTACAATATGACAGCATATCAATGTGTTTTAATTCTGAAAGTGGGAAAAGCAATCCAAAACACTTACCATTAAGATACTACCCCTTCCTCTAACACATTATACTGGAAATAACAGGGCTTTAGAAAAATGTGATGAGTGATGTATCAAGAAAATCCACATTCACACAGGAAATAAATTGAATAAATGAGATCATGTTCCTCCAAATCACTCCCAGCACAGCAAAACAGCCTAGTAAAACCAACAAATGGCCCATTAAATTAATTCAAGTAGAGTATACCTGTTCAAAATTTATTTTCTGAGGATGAAATCTCACTTGTTTTCATTGGATACTTAAAGCATGCTTCGACATTTCAGGCTATTCAATGTGCTCAAATAATGCAACATCAATGGCTAATCAATCACAATTGAAATAGTTGTGGTGCCAGCTGGAAGATGACTAGATGTTTGGAGGAATAAAGTACAGGCTCATGAGATATTAAAATATCTTCCAAATTCATGGAAGAAATCCATGGAATGACTAAACATAACATTACTTTAAAAAAAATATCTACAAGTGCAAATCAGATCTAATAAACTGAGCAAGAATCTGAATCCACGTCATCGACAGGTTCAACTTTTACATTTACTGAAGGCTCATCATGATCATTTGGTTCAGTTTTGATCTTAACTTCTACTTGGCTGAGAAGATCACTGAAATCATCCATGTGGTCAGGGTCAGGTTTGATCTGCAAGTTTGAGTCAGGTTGGATGACAATACCTTCTGCTCCTTCCAGATGACGAGCGAATTGATTCCAAGAGTCCTGTACATAAAAAAGGAATGATTGAAAATTGGGCTTTAGGGTAGTTTTTATTCAAATACAGGGCATACTCAAAAGAACTGACATCACTCACCTGAGTGGTAATACTGTTGCGCCGACCGGAACGTCCCAAAACTGGACGTACTATAGGTAGCATAGGCTCTAAAGTACCATGGTTTCCTCTACATTTGCAGGACTTGCAGCATGACCGACAGTTGCCTTTCTTGCCACTTTGATCTTGAACTTGCTGCTGCTGCTGTTGCTCAATAAAGTGTTGCTGACGTTTACTCCTACGAGCTTGTTGAGCTCGCTGAGGGGCTTGACTATGACTATGAGACCTTACCCTGGTGGTTTTATTTTTGGGCTTGATGGGTTCCTGTTTAATAACATCCTGCTTGTGAAAATTCTTCATGTGCTTAATATAATCGCGCTCATCTAAGTAAATGCAAGAGCATGCATCACATCGCTGACAATCTTCCATCCTAATTTTGGTCAAACCAACTGACTTTTTAGCTGTAAAAAATAAAAGATGATAAATACTGAGTAGATATGTACCAACATAGGAAGGACAGAGTTTCTTCCTTTATTGCTCTATTAATTTTACTTTATAACTTACGTCGATTATGAGGATTTACTCGGACAGGTGGTGGTCTGGGTGGTGTAACATTGACCAGTGGAGGCTTTGGCACATCTTTAACGATCTCCTGAGGACTTGGTTCACTGGGAATTTCCTCCTGAGTAAGTGGAGTCACTGGGCTGATTGGTAAGATGGAGGGTGGAGGACTAACACTCTTTACTGAAGTGTTGGCACAGAGCTCATTTTCACCTGCGTCATCACTTTTGCTTGGACTAGTGTCGCTGCTAACACTCTTGCTGATTTCTGCCATTTCGTTTTTCAACTGACTGGCCAGTTTTTCAATTTTATCTCGTCGAAGTGCTTCATGGAAGCTAGCTTTGGTAGCATTAGCCAGCAAATCATTCAATTTACTGTCAAGATCCATAGAATCAAGCCCATCACTCAAATTTATGTTGAGTGACACATTAAAATTAATGTTAAGACTGCCATTAGACTGAGATGTGCTAGTGACAGTTACAGCATCACTAAGGCTTCCCTCTGGAGAGGAACTTGAAGACTGGGATGCATGTAATCGAGTATGGAGTTGGAGGATGTGTCGGTTTCCAAATTGTTTGCCACATTGTTTGCACTCAAAATTTTCTGAAAAAAGATAAATAAAAGGGTATTAAAATATGGAGCAGAAATATAGTTTAAATTATAAAGAATTGAACTAAGAAAAACAACAGGTAGTTTGTTTTGAATGTTTACCCTTTATGCCCAAATGAGCCTCACGTATGTGCAAAGCACGATCTGCTTCGTTGAGAAACTTCCTACGGCAATGTGCACACTCCAGGACTGCAGTTGTTCGCCTTGGACGAACAGCATTGCTTTCTTCAGCTCGATTACACACCACCATTGTGGAACACTCACTCCTATGGAAGAAAATTAACTCAATAAATAAAGCCAATTAAATTGACTGATGAACTTAAAATATATGTGTGTATTTTTAAAAAGGAACGGTAATATCTCTTATGATCTAAAAGCTGGACTAATTGGACTACCCCCTACCTCCCCCTTCAAGACAGGCAGACAGACAGACTGACAGACATTCACTCACACAGTCACACTCACACACGCACACACACACACACACACACACCAAGCAAAAAATTAAGAAAAAAGTTATACACACTGCCAAACTATATACTACAATATACGCCCAGTGCTAGAAATAAAACATTAAGTCCACTTGCATTTTTAAGGCTCCGATATGTCTTAATTATTACACTTCCTCTCACGTAAAATCAATACTGCACAACGGCATATAGCACGGGGTGCAGTGTGGTGCATAGCACAAAGGGATGCTGCACTTAGCTTGTTTCACTTTCAAAATGTAACCGAGAGGCAAAAAACTTAAATGTCTCTTGACAGAATAAGATCTGGCGGGAAAGCTTTCGTAAACGCTTAATTGAAAAGTAGCCGGTAGCCACAAACGCATGAAACAACACCCATAAACCACCCCAGCTGACAGTCCAAGCCACCGTTTCTAAGCAACCACCACCGCTGCGGCGCGAGCGACTCCGGCGTCGCAGGGGTGCGGGGGTTGAAAAATCAATACAGGGGCAGGAAGGGGAGTGAACTCTGAGCGCCAGCGCTCTGTAAACGCAGCGGGATTTTTCGAATTCATGTCAAATTTGTTCGGGACAGGACAGAATATAACTATTTCGTGGTGGAAACGCTCTTACCAAGGGTTATGCCGCAGAACACGCCGAGGACACGAACATCCGCTCAACCGTCTATTCTTAGCCCTTAGCCCATATCATATTTCGCTCCCTTTGCGCACCACAACATATAGGGCAGTAGCGATAGGCGAAGGATCGAGGCATCGACTTCCAATCTGAGTGGCTGCTGAGTGGGGAGCAGACGACACAACAAAACAGCAATTTTGATTAG